GCACTCCTCTGCAGCCGTGACGCCTTCCTGTCACCACGGCACTCCTCTGCAGCCGTGACGCCTTCCTGTCACCACGGCGCTGCTCTGCAGTCGTGATGCCTTCCTGTCACCACGGCGCTGCTCTGCAGCCGTGACGCCTTCCTGTCACCCTTCATGAGCAGCTTGGGCGACCTGCGTGACAAGCTCCTCCGGGGAGGTCTGAGCAACGTAAGCTTCCTGGTGGTAAATGAGCGCACCCCCCAGTCCAGAGCCATGTACTGGGAGATGAGGAGAAGGACGGCTGCAGGGATCACTGTCTACCAGCAGGCCCCCCTGCAGGACGATGTCTGGGAGCTTCTGGAGGGAGACAAAGATGACTTCCTCATATATGACCGGTGAGATGTTCCACTTGCCCCCCCCCACAAAAGAAATCCTTCCCATCCGATGTGAGTCACTGGAGAAGTCACTTTCTCCACAGCTGCGGACAACTGACGTTCCACATCGTGCTGCCGTACAGCTTCCTGCACTACCCCTACGTCGAGGCCGCCATCAGGGCCACTTATCATAAGGACATCTGTGGCAACTGCTCTGTGAGTAAAGCTATAGTACCTCTGATTGGACGAAGCCATCCACATGACAATTTAAACATGTCTGATTGGTCTGGCCATTCATATGATACAGACATATGGTACATCTGATTGGATGTAGTTTACATTCTGCTGTGCTGCTGTTACAGGGGAGCTTGAATGGAACGCAGAATAGGGACATGCAACCAGGCATGAACCTGACAGGTGGCCTTGAGGGAGTAGGTGACGCCACCCTGATGTCCCTGCCAGAGCCTGCATCGCCTAATGCCTCACACACCCTGGGGGGGGAGCCAAAGCCACATCATCACCATACACACACCCATGGGGAGGGGCCAAAGCCACATCATCACCATACACACACTCAGGGAGAGGGGCCAAAGTTACCCCATAACCATGCACACACCCAGGGGGAGGGGCCAAAGTTACTCCATAACCACACACACACCCATGGGGAGGGGCCAAAGTCACATCATCACCACACACACACCCATGGGGAGGGGCCAAAGTCACACCATAACCACACACACACCCATGGGGAGGGGCCAAAGACACATCACCACACACACACCCATGGGCAGGGGACAAAGTCACACCATAACCACACGCACACATAGGGGGAGGAGTCAAAGACACATCATCACCACACACACACCCATGGGGAGGAGTCAAAGACACATCATCACCGCACACACACCCATGGGGAGGAGTCAAAGACACATCATCACCACACACACACCCATGGGGAGGGGCCAAAGTCACACCATAACCACACGCACACATAGGGGGAGGAGTCAAAGTCACATCATCACCACACACACACTCATAGGGAGGGGCCAAAGTCACATAATCACCACACACACACCCATGGGGAGGGGCCAAAGACACATCATCACCACACACACACNATCACCACACACACACCCATGGGGAGGGGCCAAAGACACATCATCACCACACACACACTCATCAACCAAAATTGAGGGTAGAAATTGGGCAAATCCTTTTTTTAGTTGAAAGACATACATGTTAACATAAAATGTGCTGTAGTAATAGAGTTTATATTGCGCATTTCAACACATCTGTGCTATTTGGGCTCATCATTACTGTGGCAGACACACCTCTCATGCAGTGCTCCAACTTGCCCAGAAGGGGTCTCCCTCACCTTTGTCTCTCCTCCTTCCATCAGAATTTGTCAGAAACGTCCTCTCTCTGCACTAAATGAGGTCTGTAGTTTAAACCATACTGCGGGGTCTACAGGCTGATGTTCTGCAGGGGACTGGGAAGACCAGTCAGACCAGTGCTGGGGATGGAGGTGGACTGGGTGTGTTTATGAAGGTGATAGAAATGGGTATTTTTTATGTCCAGGCCTGTGACCGCCCTGCCTGTATTTTTTCTAACACAGAATGTTCTTCTCTAAATCTTCCGTAAAATCTCAGGATGTATATTTGTCTTTTTCTGGAATTATTGTCAAATCAAGCTCATGTCAAGCCCACAATGATATGCAGAAATAAAATAAATTCAACCACATTACTGATTTACTTTTTCATGTTTTTTCTTTAAATTGAGTTTTTGTGAATCATGACTAATCCTGACTGTTCACGGTAAATATAAGTGTGTGTTTATGATAGGAGGGTGGCTGTTCCCAGTGTTATCAGACAGCTGCTTCTTCAGCACTGGGGGCACTTGGAAAGCACCCCAAGCCCCAAAGAGGACATAATCAGACCCTGCCCGTTTCTGGCACCCCCTCAACCCAATCTGTTATTTTCAAAATAAAGTGACTCCTTAAAATATACTTTGACTCCTTCTTCCTGTATAATTTGTGATAGAGAACTTACTGCAGAAAAGGAGGAAAGTGGCTAATGCTTTACATGAACTGCACCTTCATAGTGCCTTCATAGAACATTTAGCGCTCTTTCATAATGTTTTCATAGAACATTCAGTGCACCTTCATAATGCCTTTATAGAACATTCACTACTACTTCATAATGCTTTCATAGAACATACAGTGCACCTTCATAATGCTTTTATAGAACATTCAATGCTCCTTCATAATGTTTTCATAGAACATTCTGTGCAATGTATGCTAAAGCTGTTCAGGTAGAATTTTACAATTATTTTTTTTTTTAGATTTTTTGATTGTTGGAACTTTAAGGTGTATTTACATGTTGCTTATGAGTGTTCTATGAATGCATTATAAAAGCATTATGAACGTGCAGTTAATATAAAGTGTTACGGAAAAGTGCTAGCCAGTGCTAATTAATTAAGCTTAACAATAATTGTTCATATTGTAGGTAATGATTTTTGCCCTAAATATGTTAAGCATTGCCTGATATAATCCAGAGATCAGTCAGTCTTGTACTTTGGGTTGATTTGACACCTAAACATGATATCTTTAGTGTCACTTTGCAAGATCAATGAGATGACGTTTGAATCATCCTGCAAAAGCCTCAATAAAAGCTATACAAGATAAAGAAAAATTTAAGGAAAAAATTAAAATTATAAAATGGCATTTAGCAATTACAAATACATGGTATAAAAATATGAGAGGAATTCTGCACCTGAATCATCGCACAACATAAATGATTGCACCAGAGAAAGGCAGCGGCTGAGAGCATTACTGCAGGATAATGATCGTGATCAACAATATTGCATGGTACAGTATAATGGATTATATGCAGCAGTATTGTGGTACTGAGATAAGCGAGATAGCGACATTACCATACACAGGGGTGATTGAATAATGGCTAGGAGCCAGGACAATTAAAGTGCAAATTCTGCATGTGTAGTGCATGATGTTTGCGGTGTGGATAAGTCTCAGTAAGTTCAGTGTGATACTGCTGGGGGGGTGGGGGTGGGGGCAGGGTCAGTGTGTTTAGGGTGACAGCTTGGGGGTAGAATCCGTCTGGCCGTGCGAGTGTACAGGCTCATGTTTCCTGCCTGGGGCTGGGCAGCTGACCTCTAAGGGAAGGTAAGGAAAAGGAGGAATATCCAGAAAGCCCTCCCTCCTAGCAGCGAGAGGACTCATCAGCCGTGAGAGAAGGCTTATTATATACTTCTTCTGTACACTCATATTACAGTTTAATCATCATTAAATGTTACCTGTTACGCCATCGAATGTTGTAGGAGATATTATTCATAATAATTGACATATAGTTATATTCCATTTCATACTCATGATAAACTTTTTCAGTGGTGATTATAATGCTGTGATGATTTGCGGAGAAACAGTTTATAGACTGCTTATGATTCTGAGGGAGCAACCTCTGCCTGTTTGCATGTTTGTGTTGTATGTGTATGTAAGTTAAAGAACTCTGCCACTTGTGTTTTCTGCCATGTTCTGGAGACACGGACATAGGTTTGGGTTCAGCTTTGGTAGGGAACAAATCAGCCCCTAAACCCCGCCCCCCCTAAACACACATATGTCCCTACTGCCTACACTCAGATCTTTGCCCTTGTTTGGAGAACAGATTCACACCTTAAATGCATCTCTTTAGCATCTTCTTCTGTCATTTTCTCAATAAGACTCTCTGTAGTTTGTTCAGGCCCGTGTCCTTCATCCTACATTAAAGCCCTAATTAAGAACGAAGGATTAATGATGTGTGTGATAGTCACCACGGCAATGGGCCACATTGCTACCCGTCATTTAGAGGAGCCTTCAAAGCATTTAAAGAGCGTTTAATACCTTCTGTTCTAAGAAACTCAGGAGATGACACCCAGCCCACCATTCCTAGAGTGAGCAGCATCCCCTTTTTGTTTCCTGGGACAGATAAAGGATGCCCCATATGGCAGCACACATCCACACCTTCTTCATGGTCTGCTGGTCCACCAATGCCACCCGCACACTCCACACCTTCTCCACAGCCTGCTGGTCCACCAATGCCACCCACATGCTCCACACCTTCTCCACGGCCTGCTGGTCCACCAACACCACTCACACACTCCATACCTTCTCCACGGCCTGCTGGTCCGCCAACACCACCTATACATGCTACACCTTCTCCATGCTGGTTCTGCTGCAAGCTCGATGTGAGGGGATGGTCCTGCTGAGAATGGCTTCATGCATGTGGCAGTCATATGTGTGTCTGCTTGGTACTGGACTCTCTGGAAGAGGTCCTGCCTGGATTGTGCTGACCTTAATCTGGAGCAGGACCCGCATGTGCTGTTAGGCTTATTTGCAGCATGTATAGAGCACACTGACACATAGAGACCTAGCATGGTGCCCCCAGGGTTTCTAGCCTCCATCCATCTGTGTTCTGAAATGCATCTGCTTGATGCTGGAACTCTCTGGAAGAGGTCCTGCCATCTGTGAGGATTCTATCCCCTTCATCTTCTCCTCTTCTGCATATCCGATGGCAGCATCCTCCACAACATGCGGGCCCCACCCTGCCCCCCTGCCTGGCCTCCCGCCTCCCACCCTGCCCCCCTGCCTGGCCTCCCGCCTCCCACCCTGCCCCCACTTACTTATTTAATCTTTTGCGTGACAGTTTATCTGCCTTATAAATTACAAGCCTGGCAGCTGCCAATGGCTGGCCAATATGTGTCTACAAAAGCCACAGAGTGACGCCCACTCCCCCTCCCACTGCAGGGATTGGCTGCGGTGAGACCCACCCCCAATTGCTAGACGTCTACACGCTTCCTCCCACAAGGGGGCAGCATTGAGCTGTTGTCAACACAATATTAGTTCCCAGCATAAACCAAGAAGCTTCCTCAGGACTCATATGTGTGTCATAAATCAAATGTAAAACTTGTGAATGATCTTTGAGGTGGCTGCCTGCTGTCGGTGGTTGCCATTGCCCCATAGTCTGTGGCTGTTTCTAGTTCCACGCCCCCACTGAATGACACAGGACAGCACAACGGCACCTACGTCAGGCTGATGGCACTCTGCACGTGCACTGTGACAGATGACTCTGTGTGTGTCAAGATGGGGGGGCCGTCCCCGCGAACAGCGCTCCTGGAGGCGGGGGGACACTCCCAGGTCAGCTAGGGCAGGGGGAGATGACGCCCTAGTGGCACTCATTGTAGCAGGACACAGGCCGTCTCTGTGACACCGCATGCCCTGGGCTCTGCTTGGAGGGCGGTTCCTGAGGGAGGGAGTCCGTCTCTGCAGTGAGGGGCATGGCCTGCTCATTGACAGTCCCATACCAGAGACAAACCGACTCCATTCATTTCACCCCCAGCCTGAGGCTGACTCTCGCTCTGTGGTCTTGTTTAGCAGATTGGCCTCTCTTACGCATTTCACATTTTGGCAGAAAGACCAGAGTCCAGAGGTATCATCTGTGTCCTTCAGGGTGTGAATGTGACTGACAGTGCTTTTGACGTTCTGTGCATTACATGCCTCCCACCTTGAACCCCTTCAGCAAACAGAGGAACTTTGTCTGTCTCTCTTTTGATAGGCCTTCATGAGACTACGGTGAATAAACAAATGTTTGTTTAGAAAATTAAGAAAGGTTCAGTCTCATAAGCTGGGGGCCAGATATCTGAGGACACTCGGGCTGCATATCATCTGACAGACAGTGATTTACTGCCACTGTGTCCAGCTGCTGCCAGCTGAGGAAGGCATGTGGCACTGCTGAACGGCATTGAATGCCTGCTCTGAGGCACATAGTGTAACGACAGAACACTCAGGGAAGGTCCGACTGGTTTTATTGGGGAGATCCGAAGCAGAGTCCAAAGAACAAACAGGGTCACAGCCAATATCCATCCGATCCGAGTAATCAAAGCCGAAGGGAAAACCAACACCATAGTCAAGCCGAGTGCAGGGGAGTCCGAAAGCCGAGAGGTCTGTCCGAAGACGCTAACAGGACACACGGGGAGGTGACACGAGGGAAGATCAGGGCTGGGTCGGACGGGAGCAGGAAGGTTCAGGAGGCGCAGGAAGGGGGAGCAGGGAAAGCCGGG